TTTATAAAAAGTAAAAATAGAAATTTGAAGGGTGTTTAAACACACTATTTAAATGAATTTTTTTAATTATGATAAATATAATTAATTTTTTAATTAAATAAACTATATAAAAAACGAATATTTTATTCTTTTTAATTTAACATCCAAATATATTTATTTCAAATTTTAACCCCCTTTTAAAACTATAATCACGAGTATATTCAAATGTGAGTATATCCATATAATATTTATTACTACATTATACAACTACATTTATAACTTATTGTTACATAATTACAGCTTAGTAATAAGAAGAGTGATTTGTCCTGACCCAGTGGGAAACCCGACTCACCCGACTTGAATGGAGACGAGGATTCTCCGCTAAAACGGGTCTCGGGGCCGGGGATCCCTGGTAAACTTAAACTAACATATATTTTTCATGGGATCCCTAGTAAATGATGTTTTATAGCCAGCTGATAAATGTGTGCAAATACAAAACAAGTGTTACACTCTATTAATGTGGTAAAATATTTCTATAAAACTGATAACCAACAAAAGAATTTCGCTCTTTTAAAATCATATAAATTCATAAAATAAAATAAAATCGATAAAAATCGGAGACTGAATCTTATTTCCTGATAGAGCTGGATTTGAGACTTTCAGTGATGGGGATGGGATTGAGGTCCCCGATACCCAATTGTCATATCTACTTATATACTATTATACTAAAAAGATCATTATGCGACGACTCCGAGCTATCCACGAAGCGAGTTGTCGTCCTGCGATTAGTCAGCTCACATAGTGGGTTGTATATTCAGACTAACAAAAAAATAATAATGTAAGTCTGCTTGGTTTTATAATTTATTTTATTAATAAATAAAACTAATCCAATTTAATACGAAATTAATCAATTTAAGCTTCATTCGATACTAAACTACCAATAAATGTTTGTTCACACACATTAACGAATAAAGTTCGATATTGATCTTTAAGGTATGTAATTTTTAACGGATATCGTTTTTAAACTCTCAGATTTAATCTTTATCTTTGTAAAATTTCAACGGTTTTTATCATCATGTCTGATAGTCATTAAACTTTTTCCGTTAAATCTAGTTAAATAAGGGATGCTTCAGTATTTCCCTATTTTCTTAATTTTATATTAAAATTAAAAAACATATTATTTTTTAAATTTTAAATTGTAAGGAAAAATAAAAAAAACGTAATATGTTTTTTTCTAATTTCATTTTTGTTTGTTTTACAATAAAAAAAATATCATACATTTTATTTTAATATAATAAAAATGATTAAAACACCTTTCGTTTAATTGGACTTAACGAAGTAAGTTAACAATCGTTAGATAAGTGGATTCAAACCGTTATGATCTGTGAAAATCTGATATTTAGTTCCCAACAGATAATACCTCTAAATCTTCAATGCAAATACCACGGTCGTAAACTCCTTTGTCATGAATCGGATTGAAAATTGACAAAACATTAAAAATCAAAATTTAAAATTTAAATATTAAAGTTTATAAACAATATTCATTAAAAAACAAAATTAAATTTCACCTTTTTTTAATGAACGTCACCATCATCTCAATTTCCCATGGGCCAAATAGTCCATGTGTACTGGACAGCTCCATAGTGGGCCCATTTATGTAATTGTCTTATATACTTCATTTATTAAAAAGGTTAAGAACTAAATAATGGTCTATTTTAAAGTTTTTTTTATGGGTTGGACGATCCGTTAGACCTGGTCCAGTTGGTCCGTTAGAAATACACTATTATACAACCATTATCGAGAAAATGGACAGGCCCAGGTTTGTTCGTTAAAATTAACGGACGGACATTGACAATGTAAAAATAAATATGGACATGCCTGTCTAACCCGTTTATATTTTATAATTAATATTTTTTATAATTAATTAAAATATGGATTATCTGTGGCCTGTATCATCATTAAATTTCACTTTAGGTTATGATTCATATCGTTTTACATTTTTTTTTAATTCTATGCATGTATGAAAAACACATATTAATGTTTTTTCCACATACAATATAGTCTCAGAAGTTTCATATATAGAATCACATTGTATAAACACTCCAATATCTTACATGAAAACTAGTTTACGGAATTATAACAAATATTGACATACGATAAACTTGGGATCATATGAAACCAACCTCTTTTTATGAGACCCAAAATAACATTGAACCTTCATAAAAAACAGTATTTAGGCAAAGATTCATTGTTTTTTAATACCATCGTAGTGTTTTATTGTGAAGGTTCAGTGTTCCCGATATACCGTGATGCCTGGTCAAAGGTTGATAAACAGCGATCTAACCGGTCCCACACAAAACATGCATCAAAGTACACCAATGTAAGAGAGTATTTTTTGACCCACTCAACGGCTGAGGCTATCAGGCAGTGGCGGAGCCACATAGAAAACAATGGGTCTCTTGACCCCAGTCAAAGATATATATATATATATATATATATATATATATATATATATATAT